CATCCCAAAACCATCTCCCATCCACCAGGTCTGTGGGAAAATTGTCTTCCACAAAACCGGTCCCTGGTGCCAAAAAGGCTGGGGACCACTGCTAGGTCACTTTCCTTCCTGAATGAGTTTTCCGTCTTTCAAAGCCCTGGTTGAAATGACTTACCTGCTGATCTCTCCCCTTTCTATTCCTCCAGGTTTATTCCTTTATTTCCACTTTACTGGGGCATTGGTTGGTGAAGGAAACAAATGCCCTTGATTCATCTGCCATTTTTGACCAGAACTCTTCCATTTTCTCACCATACAACTAATTTGCATATGCACTTAATAATCCTTGTGCCCCTCCTAATCCTGGGCACCGAGCAGAGTGCTGGGGAGATGAACCAGGCGGAGGCACATGCCTGGACAAAGCCTCTGTGGTGACGCACACGTACAGGGATCGTGCCAGCAGTGGGGTGGTGACCAGAGAGGAGGAGGGGTGTGACAAACTTGGCCAGAGATGTTGTGGAAGGCTATGCTGAATGAACTAAAATTCTGTGGCTTTATGAATTCAGCCGTTGGAAGACTCTGCCCATTAATTATTGCCAAGTGAGTCCAAAGAAAAGAGGTGTATCCAGCTCAGATCTTCAAAATCACTGAGCTGGCTGGGTGGGCCTTCGCCTCTCCAGGGTCTTTCAGAGCCCACTGCTCTCTACCTACAACCTCTCACCGTTGCCCCCCACTGTTGCCATGCACACTTAGAACAGAGTCTGACCATGGGAAGATGAAGAATTTGAAGAAGGCCTTCTCAGGGTGTGAGACATCACATCTTGCCCTCACTGCTGCTTTCCAGCCTGCAACTAGCTCACTGCTGATAGAGGCCTCATTAGTGTTGTTGAGAGGTACATCCGCTGGTTTCTGACCTTCTTATCATAAGTAATGGCACATATATAGAATCGCAGCAATGCAGACTAGCTAAAGCTCATGAGCTCATCAGTTAGCTTCAGTTAACCCAGCAAACAGCCTTGCTAGTGTTTGCATTTTGGCTTGAAGATAGTTCCATAAAAGGCACAATGTTACGTGTATGTCACCAAATCAGACCCCAGGTTGCCGCTGGTTCCTAATGCCAGAGACAGCAGTGCCGATGAGCACAGCCTTGCAGACTGAACAAAGTGATTGCTGCTCTTCGCCCCTCCTTGGTCATGTTGCAGTCCCAGTTCCTATTGGGAAGGGCCTACATGTTTCCTCTCCTTATTCCTCTCCCCTGCCTTGCTTTTCTCGTTGCCACCTGAGAAGTAATGGGGGCTCCAGAAGGCTTCCACTTGGTGCCCGTGCCTGGTCCTTACTGTACAGCTGTGCGTCTGAGCTGTTACCCCAAGGTAGAGATGCTAGAAGAGGCGTAGCTCTACACCGAGGACGCCTCCTCCTTGAGAAGATGCTGTGTTCTAGAAACTTTGAAGTAAGATCCCAGGTTTTTATTGCTTGGGTTTTTCAAGTGCATTTTTATATTTGAATTCTCTCAGCGCTCAGTCCACCTGAACTGCGTGAGTGTGCAAGAGGTGGTATGAGGCAGAAAACAGTGTCTCTCAGTGTGCACTTTGGCTATATCCTGCCCTGCCGAAATGGGTTGGGTTTGCCTTTCTGTCTTTTAGTGGCATAAAAGGGGTGGGATAGTCTGTTTGGCTGAAGGGCAGCCACATTATAGAAATGCTCACATTCTCGCCAGTTGCTGGCTTTTACAGAGCATCACGTGGCTGTGAAAACTCAAGTGTTTTCTATCCCACCAGCCATTTGCTGAGTGGACTCCATCTCTGGGCAATGGCAGCCAACGCTCCAGCTTCACATTTTTATTGGTGTTGTAAACAAACAAGCCAGAGAAATATCTGGGAGGTTGTGTGTGACAGCGTTCATATCACACTTCTCACTGTAGCAACTTTCATGTGAAAAACTTCTCAGTGGCATGGCACATAGTATAAAGATGTTCTTTTTATTGAATTTAGTAACCCCTAATGGGTAGTGTTAGTCTCCCCAGTTTCTGCTGATAACATGCGTTCTGTCTTCCTGAGGAGCCCGTCGCCGTCCTGCTGTGAAAATCCTGGGGTCTCGCCACCATAATCCTTTCCTGTAGCGAGTTTTTAGCCTCAGACAGGTACTTTTCTGTCAGGAAGAGAGGAATAATGAAGGCAGCCATTGTGCATTGACCAAATGGGAAGTGCTCAGCGGCATAATTAAACCCGTAAAATGGTGAGTCAGGATCCCCGCAAACCAGCCAGCCAGGAAGCCGGAGGCCTCCAGTGTGTCTCCTCTGGTGGCACTGTGCCGGCCTCTCCTCATGTGTGGGCACCAAGTGTCCGATTTTTGTCGTAACAAGTTGGAACTTTAATGAATGTTCTAAAGGTTTTCTGAGGAAATATCTCATGTGAACAAGATATTTAGGCCCGGTGGATGTCTGTCTGGAAGTTCTGCTTTCCTGACGAGTACTAGAGTCTGCAAACTAGAAAAAAGACTCCTGCCTGAGGTGCTTCCCAGATGGTCTGTCTGTCATGGAGAGGGTGGCCTGGAGAAGCCTCCGGAAGTCCATTTCACCACTCATAATTTCAGGGCATGTGAGCCTAAGTCTAGCAAAGGTGTAGTGGAAGGCGGTGAAACAGAAGACGTTTCAGAGCCTTGCTCTGCAAATAGAATGCAAAGATTCTTGTGAAGCAACATTAGAAGATGTAGTCTGTGCGAATGTCAGGAGCCAGCGCCATTTGCTGGGGGCAGCGTCAGACTGTAGAATTTCGTATAGGGCACTTCCTTTCCCCTTTCCGAACAGGTACTGTGTTGTGAAGAAGAAAGGAGTAATAAGTTGTGTGTACATCTACACACACACACACACGCGAAAATTCAAGGTAGCTTAGGGAGGTAGTATTTCAGAAATTTTGTAGTTTGGAAACAAAGGAAAGGTTTAGAAGGGGGTTTTGGGAATACAATTAGACTGGGACTCAGTTACAAAAATAAAGGCCAAAGTGGAAGACATAAAAATGTTTATTGGCCTCTTAACCCTTTCCCCCTTTATACACACATCTTAGACTCAGAGTGGTATTCTTTCAAAATAATATCCCTTATGTAACCATGCACCAGATGTCTGCAAAGGAACGGGTTTTAGTGCATCCGGTTCAGGCCCCTGTCTCACAAGCTCAGAGCCTCATTCCTCTCCTCCTAAACTTGAAGCAGAGTGGCTTTGTGAGTTCTCGAGACATTTGCCACACAGACATCTGCAATCATCTTATTCTTTCTCATCTCCCTCCTTTCTTTTCACTCTCACGGTTTCTGTCTCCGAGCCCTTGTGTCTCACTTCGGGAGGCACCGAGGGAGACCTGGCAGGGTCGGTCTGTCAGTCGCCGTCTGCACGCACGGCCTGCCCAGCGTTCCAGTGGGCCAGTCTAGGGGGAAAAACACTCTCCCTGATGCGCACTGTTCTGTGATTCCTCCCCTGTGGACGTCAGAAGTGCAGAAAGCATTCCTCGGAGAAAGAGATGCACTTTGGGGTTACAGCACAGTTAGGTGAGTGTGAGTGAGCGTTGTACTGAAAAACGTTCCCTCATCGAGTGGCTTCCGTGTAGTCAGAGAGCCCCACAGGGTGTAGTTGTAGGCCAGCCATCTACAGTCTCGGCTGCAGTGTAATCGTTGTAGGAGGGATGGGAAATGCTGACTTACTGTCTGGTCTCACTTGTGCTTGTCAGAAACTCCTGAGCTTACTTGGTGGAGCCATTCAGAGGATCTTTGCCTCTGGTTTAGAAGTTGGCTTTCGGGTACGTGCAGTGGCAGAGACCCATGAAGCCGGCTTTCCGAATAGGATGTCCCCGAAATTCTTGGCACAGGAACAGCAATGAAGTGAACATGAGATTATTAACACACCAAGAACAAATTTGCCACTGCTGTACAGTTTTAGTTGGGGAGTTGAAGCCTTGTAAATTGATTTTTGTGCTGTCATTTTTGCCACTGCATCCGTTTCCCCGACCCCATCTCCAGTTAATGCTCTTCGGAGTTTGTGGGTGGATCTTATATCTACCACGTGCGGTGAACTCTTCCTGCACGGAGGTGCCAGAAACAACATCTGCCTGGGCACCCAAAAGTGTATGCCCGCCGAGTGCAGCTGGAAGAGTTCTAATAATGAGATGGCTTTGGATGAGGTTATAATAAACACAAATCGGTGTGTAGCGTCCGAACTGTTTTCTAAGAAAACAAAAATGTGCTCCGTTTCCCCATCTTCTTAATATCATGTAAGCATTGTTCGTGCATATTTAGCACAATCATGTTGCTACGTGAAAATCTTCAATGCATTTCTAGTTGTAAAAAGTGTATTTTTTAAAGTTTTTTTTTGTGCGTGTGCATGTGTGTTGTGTTGGAGAGGCGGCTTTCCAGAAGGTGGCTACAGTGTCGAAGTCTGTCTGCCTCTTCAGGAGGGAAGACCCCTCTGATGAATGTGGTATTTGTGGATCCAAACCAGAATGAGAATTTCTGATTGAGAGTCTAAGAAAGTTATAATAAACTCATTCTACAATTAAAAAGAAGGGTTACCTTCCAAAATGTGAATCCTAATCCAGAAAAGTTTTCAACAAACAAGAATAATACTCCACAGGTTTTCAAATTGATGGCGCTTTCCAATGGCAACTAATTTGTTCCAGCATTGAAGTGAGCATATAATTAACAGAGACTTTCTTTCTTGGGCCGATTAACCACCAAAAACCATGCCAACATTGTAACTGTAAGCAGTGAAAACCAATATTTATGGGGGGGATTGTGCAAGAGTTCGTGTGACAGATGGACATTTTATCACTGTTGATGTTTGGAATTCCCTTGAACAGTAATACAATATCTTGTTATTTATGAATGAATGAACAAACGACCGGGCTTTGCTGACCGAATTCTCTTTACAAAGAGGTATACTAAATTAATCTTTCTCTCTTTAGCCTCTATTACTTTATGTTAGGTAGGCTCATATATTCCGATGCAAAAGCTAAGAAATCATAATTGTGTTCTTATTACAGATACAGATCCACGTGTTTTAGAAAAACAAGAATTACAGCAGCCAACCTATGTTGCCCTCAGCTACATTAATAGGTAAGCTGTTTTCAGAATTTATAGCAACGTCATATCTGCCACATGTTTATTTTTTTAATGTATCTTTTTAACAGAGTAGAAAAAAATGTTTTCAGTTTTAAACTATTTGCAGGAGATTATTGAAAATCAGCCTGTGTGTGGAATTTCCCTGTTTATTTGGGGAGACGAGGAGGTGGTTCTGTGTGTGTACATATGGCTGAAAATGACTGATTTACAAGCTCATTCTGGAATTAGTTTGCATGCAGAGTTAGAATATGCTCCTTTGACTTCATAGGGCAGTTTGAGAGATTAATAGATTTATGTTTGAGTGAAACTTTTTAAATGCTGGGGCAAAGAGATTCTATGAATTCAGAGCATTGTCGGAATATCAGAATATATATCAGGATATAACAAATTGAAATAATTTAATATCAGAAAGTTACATAATAATGCTGTGAGCATGCTTCGTGATGTAGTCTTTTCTATAAGCCAGCCTTTGGTCCCTGCTCAGGTCATCTGACCTGAGTGAGCTTTAAGAACCGAAAGCTCTGAGCCACCTGTGCTCAACCAGTCCTACAGGTGACATCAGCATCCAGAAATAACAGGGAGCCTACACAGGTGACTGTGCTGTTCATTCAGATTTTATTAACGCAGCTTCATTCAGTTTTCATTAATGCAGATTTATTCCTAATCCTTATCAACCTAATAACAATAATAATCACTCAGAAACAGTCCTTAGTAACATCACAGTAGAGAACTGGGGAACAATGAACCCAAGTCCCAGACCTCAGTCTGCAGTTCTGGGAGACAGCCCAGTAGGCGGGGCAACTGGCAGGTGTCTTACAAGGTAGAGTCTCTGGAGCCAGGCTGGCCGTGGGGCAGAGCCTCCAGCAGCACGGCAGTCAGGAGACTGGCGTGGTGTGGAGCAGCATCTTGGGGTGTGGCACTCAGCTCTCTCAGCAGTGGTCTGAGCCTACCTCAGTTATACCCTTGAGGGTCCTGCATTCCACCCCTCCAGGTCTCTTCCTAAGTGTTTTTTTTGGGACCCCTCACAAGCCATCAGGGAATTTCAGATGGGCCTATCCTGGGGTACTCCACCTCTACAGGTGTGCCTGTCTAGGTCATGTGTGCAGGTATCTTGAACACTCCAACCTGCCAGGCATGACTCAGGTAGTTTCCTTCTTGAACCAACATGTCCTGGCTGACTGGCAGCCATCTTGGTTGACATGAGTGATGCCATTTTGTTCTGTACACTTCATCCCAGAGTTCCCCAACCTTTTTGGCACCGGGGACCGGTTTCGTGAAAGACAGTTTTTCCATGGACCAGGTCGGGGTGAGTAGACAGGAGGCGGAGCTCTCCCACCTGTGCTCACCTCCTGTGCGTCCCTGCTCCTAATAGGACACAGACTGGTAACAGCCCAGCCTTCCACCGGGGCGTTGGGTACCTCTGCTTGATCCTGTCCTGACCAGGCCAATGGCATTTTATTGGTCCTGCTCTCCAAAGTAGCAGCTCATCTTTTGGTAGAAACATTCTCAGCACCTGACCCATCTGTGTAGAGTGATGTGAGTTTTTACTGAAAGTGAACGTGGGAACACAGGCTCAGGGAACAGTTAGAACTTTATCTGTCAGGTCTGAAGAGGACTTGGGGGTGTCTCAGCGAACTCAATGGAGGCGGGGATTTCTGGAGAGAACCTGGAATCAACTTACGTTAAGAAAGTACACACCCCTGAAGAATAAAGCAAAACTAGTTTTTAACGAGAACAAAAATTCCCTGCTCGTAATTCAGTGCATGGATTTCTATTGGGCATCCCTTTTTGTAGACAACGAAGAGTGTTTTCAGTCTGTTGGTATCAGAGTTCTGAGTTGCAGTGTCTGAAGTAGAAAGCTGGGAATGGATTACCTGGGTGGTTTTGTTTTAATGCCTGTTAGAAGACGTACTTCAGCCTTGGGTAAGAGAGCTTTGAACCGGAGTTGCCGGTGCTGTTTCAAGTTCCTTTATGAATCATGGTTTTAAAAATTTCATTAACATAAACAGCTATTTGTATATCTCCTTTGGGTTTCCTGCTTATCCGCCTTCCCTGGAAGTGAGAGAAAATACCTGTAGTTTACCATTACCCGTAATTTTTGAGATGGTTAAAGTAGAACACCTTCAAAATCACATCAGATGCGAATAGAGAAGCATGTATCTGTCTGGATTATTCATAAGACCTTTTGTTATTTCCAGTGATTAGCATGGGTTTTGAAAATTTTGTACATTACAATTACGTAAATGTTAAGTAGCTTACTAGTATTGAAGAATAGGATGAATAGGCTTATAGATCAGGCATTGAGTAGGACTTTTCAATGGTACAGCAGTTGTGTTTTGGATAAAGTGTTACCTGGGTTATGTACAAATTTCTGTGATGCTCAGCCTTATTCTAATTAGGGTCTATGAGGTTTTCACTTTGCTCTTGCTGCTCGTATTTGTCAGCTATGTTGGCAGCCAGGATCTATTAATTATACAGGTGTTATACTCACCACAGAAAGAAATATTCTGCCAAGTGTGATTTGGGACCACAAAAGAAGTCAAATAGAGATGAGATCCACACACACAACAGAACACCAGAGAACCTGAATCAAGTGTGACAGTTTAGCATAAATGGTACAGTGGGGATAGGCCTGAATCCTAGAATCACCATAACCAGTGGATGTGAAATTTCTTGGATGAGTCTTCTGGGAGAAAATGAGTCATTTTTTAAGAATAATATTTTATCATTACAGCCTTACAAAGACACTGTAGAAAGTCAGAAAGTATAATTAAACAACATTTTTTTCTTTAAATGAAAACATCTCATTCTCACCACCCAGGTATCACTACTGGTAATACCTTAACACATATTTTTTGTCATTTAAAAAAAGTCTACAGAATTTTTAACCAAAAGCTGGCATACTATTCTGCATCCTACTCTTTAGTCGTTGATTTCTGCCTTAACATATCAGTACTGTGGGATCTAATGTATGTCTAACCCAGAGCATATTAGATCTTCCCAGGTGATCTAAACGAATCCTATACAGTTGTCTGTCTCGTCCCATGTCCAACACGGAATATCACATTGCACCTGGACATTTCGCCCCTCAGTTCTTCTGTTCTGCCGCGGTCCTTCTTATTAACAGGCCCATGCAAGAGATGGGCCAGGCGATCCAGAGAATGCTCCCACCCCCTGGGCTTTCTTTTGGTTATGTCGTCATGGTGTCATTTGGCAGGTTCCTCCGTGTTCTGTGTTTGCAATAAACTAATTTGGACCCGAAGAAGACTCTTCTTGAACTGGACACGTCACTTTTTTTTAGAGGCCTGAGAAAACAGAATTTACAGCATCGTATCCCAGCTCCGAGAGGCAGACACGTGTGGAGGATGGACACGTTTCCTAGTGGTTTTTAGGTGAAGAGAGGGACTGTGTATGGAAGGTTGCCCAGGCTACTAACAATGCCTCTCATTTGGAATCCCTTTCTGGACAGTGCTGCATTCATAACCTAGTACTTAACACATGGTAGACACTCCGGATATTTGTTTGTAGATGGTAAATAAACACCTAGTAAAGGAAAGAGGGCAGAGCCAGGATGAAGCCAAGTCTGGCCATAGGGAAAATATGCTAAAAGCATCTCAGGGGCCTTAGACACAGAAGGGAAACATTGAAAGTCACATGAAGCCGGTACGGATTCAAGAAGAGACTAAAGACTAATATGGGTTAGGTAACATGAAAGACGGTCCACTTGACAGCAATATCCTGACTGCAGCAGAAAAGAGTACTCTAAAAAATAAACATATAAAAGATCTTTTTCTTAAACCTCAGGGGAAAATAAAGTCTAACTTTGCTGAGCGGTGAAGGCAGGAAAAGAATATTTCTCTGCTCGTATATCTATTTGTCCAATTCTAATGTACTTTTGGGCATCTCAAGATTAAAATGAAACTTTCTTTGGCAATAACATTGACTGAAATCAACAAGGTTAGGATCCTTAAAATCGAGCTAGCTTTTTGGCTTATAAAAAAGAAAAGAATTGAGTAGAAATTATAGCCTTTATTTATATCTATTTTATCTTGCTTCACTCTCCTGAACATAATGTGTTTAACAAACCTTTAATTCCTTTAAAAATAGGTCCATGACAATACCCAAAGAAAATTTTAAAATAGAAATACTTTAATGAGACTGAATGAATTAGTGAAGTTTGTGGGAACAGTTCTGCAGAAAAACAGATGGATATAGATTTTAAGGACAGGAAGTTCTATTAATTCTGTGACGTGAGGAACACCAACAGGTCTGTGTAATGGGTAATTTAGTTGCTTAGTCTGTATAATACTTATTCGTCTGGAAAATAAAGTATAAAGGGCAAGAAGCAAAGCTAGAAGATTTTGAATGAAAGAATATAGAAGGAATAACACTAAAAAGAGCAAAAGTAACACTTCTGCCTTGTGCTCTAGGTTGAGCATTTTTTACATTGCTATTTAATGTACTCTTCACGATAACCATGTGAAGGAGGTGCTGTGAAGATCTCCAATTTACAGCTGCGGAAGTTGAGACTCAGAAGTGGAATAACTTGCCCTCCTTCCCCGGGTGGTACCCGGAGGAACGCTGGGTTCAGATCTGCCCAGTCAGGCTCCAGAATCGGTGTTCCTGATCACTGCACAGCGTGACTGGTGGGGGAATCAGAGCAAAGTACGAGTTCAGAAAAGTAAGTAGGGGAATTTGGAAAACTAATGTGGGAAAATAGAGAGTCGAGCAGCTAGGCAGAGGGACTGCAGACAAAAATAAGAGTAATTACCATGCAGTAGATAATTGGAGGGCAGCAACCTAGCAAAATGAAACATTGTGAGGCAGCAGAAGCTAAAAATGTCATGAGAGGTGACCGGTAGTAACTCCTAAATGATATGCTGCCACAAGGAAACAAGTGTGCAGGCCTCGGCTGTAGGGGGAAAGGACACCTTGGCATGTTAGATTGGGAGGAAAGAGAGGCGGAGCAACGTGAGCACCCAGGAAACCACCCT